ACTTGCCCCTAGGGTCATAGATGAGAGCTCGATTGTCTTTGAGCACCAGATCTCCTTTCTTGAGATTCCTAGACCTAACATTTTTGTTAAAAGCCTTAGTAATCCTGCATTGATAGCCTTGAATATGATACAATGCCTTCAATATCCTCTCATCAAATAACATCAATTCCTCAAATCTATTCTGTTGCCAGTCGGCCTCCGTTATTTGACACTCAACCATAACCCACAGTGATGGTACTTTAATTTCAATTGGCAAAACAACTTCTATGCCATAGACAAGAGAATCAGGAGTTGCCCCTGTAGATGTCCAGATCGACGTTCTATAGCCCCAAAGTGCAAACGGGAGTTTCTCTGGCTAGTCCCTATAGGTTTCCACCATCTTCTGTAGGATTTTCTTGATGTTTTTGTTTGTAGCCTCAACTGCTCCATTGGTCTACGGCCTATATGTTGATGACTTATGGAAAGTCACATTGTACTTTTCAAGCAGGTTTATCAGCTCTTTCTTGAAGTGCGAGCCATTGTTTGATATGAACTCGTTGGGCACCCCATATCTACAGATGATGTTATTTTTGATAAACTTAGCCACGTGTGACGTCTTTAGCATAGAATAGGATTGGGCCTCTACCCACTTAGTGAAGTAGTCGATCGCTACCAGAATGTATTCGTGCCCGTTTAACCCTTTTGGTGTAACTGCACCGATAACGTCGATTCCCCAAACTGAGAAAGGCCATGGCGAAGTCATATTGTAGAGCTTTGACGGCGGAATGTTCATACGATTGGCATGGATCTGATATTTGTGGCATCACCGTACAAAACCAATACAGTCCTCCTCCATAGTGGACCAGTAATACCCTTGCCTGAGAATCTTTCGGGCTAACATCACTCCGTTCATGTGCGCTCCGCACTCTCCTCCATGGGTGGCCTCCATCAGGCGCTTTGATTCCTCTTCTTCAACACACAATTTGTGCATTTCCAATGGCCTCTCTTGTACAACTTTCCCCCGCAGATGATGAATTGGACGGCCATACACTGTATTCCTCGTTTATCCTTGGCATTTTCCCTTGGTGGATACATTTCCTTTTTCCAGAAAGTTTCAAATGTCATAATACCGGGGGTTCGTGTGTTGAACCTCATCTATTACGGCGATGGTCTCATAAACAAGCGTATACCTTTGTTCAATAATGATCGAACTCATCTTCACTCCAAGCGGGATGTCCACAATGGAGGATAGAGTTGCTAGCGCATCAGCAAACCGGTTGTTCTCTCTTAGTAGATGTGTGAACGTCAATTTTTCAAACCTCGGAATTAGCACATCCAGGGCTTGATGATAAACCTTCATCTTCTCTTCTTTAACTTTCTAGTCTCCATTGGCTTGAGAAACAACCAAATTCGAATCTTTGATGACGTCCAACCTTATTGCCCCTAGTTCTAGGGCAGCTTTCAAGGCAGCAATACACGTCTCGTATTCTGCGTCGTTGTTGGATACTTTGAACCGGAGTTTGAAGGCTAGAGGTATATGGGAATCATCAGGTGCTATGAGTAATACACCTATCCCATAACCATATAGGTTAGATGCTCCGCCAAAGTACATTGTCCACGTTTTCTCTTCTATCAGCAGGATGTCTTCATCTGGGAAATGATACTCTACTGCTTCATCTCCTTCTGCGGGGTGGTCTACTAGAAATGCTTGTTTTCAGATGTGCTAACGCCAATGGGCCTATCTAGGGCTCAGAAACTGTCACTGTTTGTGAGAACCTTGTTTGGTGTGGTGGCCATCTGGTACGCTAAGTTGAAGGACTCTACAAAGCGAAATTGGGAGGAGTTATCTGAGGCATTTGTCAACCAGTACTCTTATAACACTCAAATAGTGGTAACCATCACTGAGTTGGAGACTACTACCCAGAACCCCAAAGAATCATTCATTGACTTTGTTGCTAGATGGAGGGCAAAAGCAGTAAGAATGACAAATAGACCTTCTGAAAAAGAGCAAGTCTAGTTGGTGGTCCAGAACCATGAGTCAGATATGCTACAGAGAATGATAGTGGTACCGTTGTCCACATTTGCTTCCGTACACGAGTTAGGGGTCTAGATTGAGAGTGCATTCAAGAAGGATATCATCCACAGAACTAGTGAACCTGCAGAAGGCCATTCTCTCATAGTACCAATGCTAGCAATAGCACAATTCTGCAGCCTACAAATGTCAGTACTGCTGTCACAACGGCTAAGATGGCTGATCCCTTGCTACTGGCACAACCTCATAACCTTCCCCATAAAAATGCCTAATGGGTTCAAACTTTCAACTAACAACTTATTTGTCAATAGACTATTTTAATTAGAAAGTTAAAAAGTCATTAAAAATTATCACATCATTAAAAATTATCACATCAGTCTATCCATTTTTTTTTAATATTTTCTTAGTAAAAAATTTAAAATTTATTAAAATAATTAATTTTCATACAAAGTGTAACGCCAAATAAAAATGTATTCAATATATATATTTGTATTTAGTGAATTTTTTTTTCAAAAATTCAAAATTATTTTATTTTTTAATTATATTTAGAGTAAGTGAATTTAAAAGTAAAAGGAATTTGCTTAAAAAATTCAAAAATTGGTTTTAAAAATTATTACCAAACAAAATGATTTAAACTTCTCAAAGCAATGAATTTTTAATAGGTGTAGATTCTTATTTAATAGGATCAAATTATATAAAATAAAATATTAACAATGTAAACAGGAGCCGTTAATGGCACGACAGAAAATTTATTAGCTTTGTTTGGTTTAAGTTTTCAGTTTTAATTTGTCTTTATTGAATTTTTTTTTCTTCATATTTTGGTAATTTTTTAAATGAATCAAGATTATATACATTTAAAAAAGTAAAATAGTTTAACTGAAATGAGAAAAGAATTCACTAAAAAAAAAAAAAATATAAAAAAAATCACTAAAAATAAACGATAACTCATCTAAAGTAGTTTTTGAAAAATCAAACCATACAAACACTATTATTTCAAGCATGTGCTATTTAAAAGGACACTTTTACCCTGACTCTTCCGTCCCTGTTCCATTGATACAATTTTCTCCATATTTATAAAAAAATTATTTAATGATTTTGGGCAAATCTATGTAACGTCTTAACTTGATATTTTATTGATTTAAAAATGCTATGAATGTGAAAAAGTGTTCCAAATTTAGAAGGTAGATTCCCTTCAATGTAGGAGGGCGTTGTTTTGGTCAGTGGGGTTCATCATGAGTACCGTTTCAATAATTCAAACAGTTCATTTTGTCAGGCACTTTGTGTATATTATCCACACAAAAAATTAGATTAATTTGACAATCATAACATATTTAATTTATCATTTTTGTCAAAAAAATGATTTATTTGCAAAAATACAATTGTAATTTATTTTTTTATTAAATAAACTAATATGCTCTTTGGCAATATGAGTTTGTTGCATTACAATTTACAACTCATTCGAGTTTGTTCAGCTTTGCATTCCAAACTCATTCATCAATTCGAGCTTGATTAATCCTTGTCCCAGTTTAGGGATTGATAATATCCCCTTGAAGAAACTTATAAGTTTTGATTATGTTAAACCCTGCAGGTGGATTTTGTATTCGACAGATCAAATAAGTTAAGTGGAAGGTCTCAAGAAAATATTAAAAAGTCCATTAAATATAATCGTTAGTAATTTATTTAATTTGCGAGTATTAGTAACCCGTGGAGAGATAAATAAGCATTTAATAATATTAAGCTTGAAATATAATTTGGAGATTAAGATGGAAGTGCAGCAATAATTCTTTAGTGGTATGAATTATAATTTATGAAATTAGAAATTATACTTGAGGTTGAATTAAGTTTTCCTAATTCTAGAGGGAGTCCTAATCCTAATATATTCCGAATGGTCCCTGCATAGCCTATATATATGCGTCCTTGTAGCTCTTTAAAGCATAATAATTTTTCGGGTTTTAGAGAGAGAGAGTAAAAAGGTTCACGTTATTTAGCCCACACGGTAGAAGATCGTAAGATGCAACCGAATTTGGAATTTATCAACTACAATCTTCTGTTCATGATTTAAACGAGATCAAACCAGATAGATCTTGAAAGTATAAACTCTAATTCCACCTTGTAGAATTTTATAGATCACTGTAATTTTTTTTTTTTTTTGTCTAATCTATATGCGATATCACTAGGTCTTGGGAATTCAGTCCCAACAGTATTTACACTGAATTTAAAGAATATGTATATATATATATATATGACAAGCATAATTTTAAAAATATTATTTTATTTTTTAAAGATAAATACAATTAAATCAGGTGGCTAAAAATCATAAACAAAATCATTCATTCTATTTGGTTTTGAATTTTTATAAACACTTTTTCAGTTTTCAATTCATTTTTTTTAGCGAACTTTTAAAATATTTTAGTCAATTTTTTTTATGCATCTAATTTAGATGTACTTAAAAAGTAAATATTTGAGAAAACTCTTAAAAAATTAGTAATACAAAATTTTACTGGATTTTTGTATTCTTTTGTATTTTATAGTATTTAGTGAATTTTTTAAAAGATTTTTCACAAATTTTATACTTTTTAAGTGTTGTTTAGATTATGTGGATCTAAAAAGTTTTTAAGAAAAATAGAAAAAAAAAATTGACAAAAAAATTTAAAAAGTACACAAAAATAAAATAAAAAAATATTCATGAATTTAAAACTCAAAAACAAATTTTAAAAACTCAAAACAGAATGACTAACATTCGGACTTTTAGATCTATACGTCATACATAGAAAAATAAATAAATAAATAAATAAAAATTAAATTAAATTAAATTAAAATCCAACTAAAATTATATAAAGCCCGACAATATTATTACAAATCATAACAATATTTTATTTTAACAATCCCTGTTAGTAAAAAAAAAAAAAAAAAAAGGAATATTTTGATAAATGTTTGAAAGGGCAACAGTTGAAACAAAGGATTAATTGAAACATGTGCAATGTGCATGTCAAATACTTTGGATTTGAAGGAATTGTTGTTTGATCTTGTTCAGCTTGCCAAGGACCTTCTTAATGTCCCTCCTCTCCACAGGTAACTCACTGGTGCAGTCCGAACCCAACTCTAAAATAGCAAGAAGAATGCTATGTGAGGCAACCATGTCACTGCCATTTTGCATCCTCAATAAACTACCATCCACTATTTTCATAATTTTGTTGGGAAGTGATGTGCTCACCCATTGCCTTAAATTGATCTCTGCAGAGAACATTTCATCTGTGGGTTTCTTTCTTGTGAATGTTTCCAAAAGCATCATACCATAGCTATATATATCACCACTTGTTGAGACTTGTCCTTCAAAACCATATTTTGTGTAAAATATGAGAAATGTTATATATTATTGATTTTTGTTATCATTTTATATCGCCATCTACATGTATACTTATATTCTTTGTTTGAAAATAATTATGAAGAAATTAATGGAAACCACTAATATATTGCCAAATACCCTGTGTCAACATAAATTTCAGAACATAAACCTTACACTTTGGATCATTTACCATGTGTATTATCAAGAAATCGAGACAAAATGACATACCTGAATCCATTGATGAACGGTTAAACGGAAGCGTGATTATCAATGAACTCTTTGTTATTGATTATGTTATTGCCTTCTAATCATTTCCCCTTTGGTGCCTTATGTTTCTCATTGAGAGGATTTAGAAAGAAAAATGACAGTGTTCTTATTTTTCCACTTGGGAAGGAATAGGGACCATAACCTTTTAAAGGTTGTAATTGGTTTTCAAAACTGAAAGGTTGTGAAAGTTCAAAAGGAATAAAAATCAACTTTAACCATTATTGGTTTTAATTTCTATTTATTGGTTTTCAAAACTGAAAGGTTGTGGAAGTTCAAAATGAATGAAAACCAACTTTAACCAATATGTTTTAATTTCTATTTCTGCCCCTCATAGAAATAGAAATTATACAACTAGTATCTACACATTAGGTCCGTAACACATATACCCTTAAGCCTATTAACTAAATTGAATCACTTAAATTGTAGGCTTCTTATAAATGATAACACCATATTTAATTATGTGGTCCCATTGAGACATTATCTAACACCCTGGTCATATAAAAAAGAGAATGGCTCTTCTCTATACTCGTATCCTCCGCACTTCTCTGTACTTTATTTTTTGGGTTTTATTTTAGACCCACATTGATAATCTAAACCGTTCATCTTGTAATCTCAACAATTTATATGAGTTATATAAAAAAATAGTTTCATCATATATCACTAGATGTATGAATAAATTGCATCTTGTTTTTTAAAATGGATAGTAATTGTGAGTTTAAACTTAAACTTTTCTTTCTATAAAACAAGAAAGTGATTTGTTCATCAATATCCAATGAAATTGATTTTTTGTACTTCATTATAAGATTTACAAAATGAACAGTTTAGATTATTATTGTGAGCCTAGAATGAAACCTAAAAAATGAAGTATGAAAAAATATGGAGGATATGAGTATAGAGAGAGCCATACCCACAAAACAATAAAAAATAATTTTTTTTTAAAAAAAAAAGTGAAATGATAGCCTTTGAAGGAGATAGCTCAATTAGGCAAAATATTTTATTTCCAAATTGGTTAAAATGATGGATAACATACACACCTTTGATCCATAAAATATATAGTTTGTGTCACTTTAATATACCAAGTTTAAATTTTTGTCTGTTAAGTTTTTAAATTTCAGTCAAACTTCTCCAATTTCGCACTACTGTCTAAACTTTACCGAAATAGTAATAGTATGTGTGTCATATAACTTATGTCTCTAAAATTTTAAATTTAGCAATTTTATACATAACATTGTAAGGCTATACTTTGTGTCCTTAATTAGACTTTAAAGACCAAAGCAACAAAATTGAAGACTTTGGAAAATAAAGTAACACCCACACACTTCCAGGATTATAATTGTAGTTATTATTATTATTATTATAATGATTTAAACAATTCCTTTGAAATTAAACCAATTTGTTTCAATCAAAATTTTAGAAATAAAATTGACAAAATTAAAATTGGGACGACAAAAATCACATAACATATATTTAGGAACCTAGTGTATTTTATTCTAAAATGATTCATTGCCTCATTTTCTTTTTAATAATCCCTTAACCTAGTAATCTAATTAATCTAGTAATTAGTGTCAATATTAGGCATGTGGTTCAACTTTAAAGTTGCAGTGAAAAGCCGGAGAGCCTATCTCAACTTGCCATTATGTTCTAGATTAAAGCAATATATATTGACACTAAACAAAAGCCATCTACGGTATTTCTTTGACAAACTTAAAACATAAAATTTACATTCAAGGCATGCATGCCAAACAAATTAATAATAAATACATAGAAAATTAATTTGTAACAAGCCTGTCAAATGAGAAATATAAAGGTAATTAAAACATTTACCTGGAGCAATATAGCCGATGGTACCTAAAGTCCTGGTCTGTATTGCAGTCTTGTTTTTAGCTAACATTTTTGCAATGCTGAAGTTAGCAACATGTGCAACCATGTCTTCATCTAGAAGGACATTGCTCGGGTTCAAATCACAATGAACCACATGCTCTAATTGACCGTAATGGAGATATTCCAGAGCTAATGCTACGTCAATCATGATGCCAATCCTTTGAAGGAGATTAAGGCAAGAGTTATGGGAATATAACCACATTTCAAGGCTTCCATTAGACATATATTGCAAAACCAATGCTCTTAACTCAGGGCTAGAGCATGTCGTTATAACTCCAACGAGATTTCTATGTCAAGTTGTTCGCAACACTTTACATTCAACATCAAAAAATTCTGAAACCTCCTTCAAGTTGCAAATTTAAAACCTTTACGGCGACAGTTGTCCCATCTGAAAGTACACCTTCATATACCGAGTCCAAGCAAGTTGGCATCACAGAAGTCATTTGTGGCTTGTAGAAGCTCTAGATATGAAATCATTTTGGGCTCCATTGTTGAATATAAATCTATTAGATTTTGACTCTGGACATTGTTTCCATGATTTCTTTTCACGACATACACACCAATACAAAAGATTAGTATCAATGCAATGACAGGAAGAATGTATCGAAGATTAATTTTAATCATCAACTTCTTGGAACTATTGCTTGCACATGGTGGCACTTTCAAAATAGGATTCCCACAAAGTGCTTCATTCTCCGTGAAAGACCATGATTTGAGGTTCAAGAACGACCCTTCATTTGGAATCTCCCCAACCAACTTATTGAAAGAGAAATTCATGTATTGGATATGTGAAAGTGCCTCAAGAGACTTAGGTATCTGCCCAGATAGATTGTTGTGTGAAAGATCCAAGAAATCCAATGTTATCAAATTGCCTATTGTGTTGGGAATGGGTCCCAAGAATGAATTCCTAGATAGGTTCAAAGAAGTTAGGCATTGAAAAGACCCAATAACTCTTGGAATGCTTCCTGAGATTTGATTCCAAGATAAATCCACGATTTCCAACACTCTCGATGGTCTTATGTTTGGATCTAGGCTTCCAACTAATGAATTGAATGAAAGATTCAAGAACAGTAAATTTTCAAGGTTCCATAAACTCGACGGTATGAAGGTCAATCTATTATTAGTAGATCCATCACCTGCAGACTTCTAAGATTTTCAGTGCAACTTGGGATTGATCCAGATAAGTTAGTTAGCTCTAGATAAAGTTTCCCTAAGTTGCTCAAATGGCAAATCTCATTTGGAATTGATCCATGAAAGTTGTTATCACCAAGATACAACCTTTGCAAGCTTTTAATTTCTCCAAGAGTTGAGGGGATGTTTCCATTCAGATTATTGAAAGACAATGAAAGGACATTCAATTTCCTCAAAGAGCCAATCTCTTTAGGAATTGTACCAATTAGTTGGTTTTTAGATACAGAAAGTATTTCCAAAGAGTTTGAAAGATCTCCAATAGAATTGGGTAGGGTGCCACTCAATTTATTTCGATGCACCTCCAACACCACCAAGGAAGTACAATTTGTCAAATCTGTGAGAAAACTAAGTTCCATGCTTCCTGGTTTGTTTGTCAGTTGATTTTGAAATAAATTCAAATGTTCTAGGTGTTTTAGATTGCCCAAATGTTTTGGTATTGATCCAGTAAACAAGTTGGTAGCTAGTGTTAGCATAGTGAGCTTAGAAGAATTGGAGAGAGATGAAGGGATGTTTCCAGATAGTTGATTGAGATCCAAAAGGAGTAATTCAAGATTAGGAAGAAAAAGGCCATTATTTGTTGGAAGGTTTCCAGAAAAGGCATTAAAATTCAAGACAATTTGAACCATTGAAAACTTGTTAAAAATTGCAGAAGGTATTGCACCTGTGAGATAATTTAATCCAAGGTCAATTATCTTCAAATTTGGAAGTTGTGCCAATTTAGTTGGAATGTTTCCATAAATGTGGTTCATTTCTAGCCCAAACGCTTCTAAGCTTGAAATGTTGCCAAATAAAGGTGGAATAGTACCTATAAGTTCATTCTGTCCGAGAGCAAGGAAACTTAGAGAGGATAAGGTGCTTAACTCTTTCGAAATTCTACTACTAAATTTATTACCCCAAAGAGATATCATTTCAAGCCTTTGACAGTGGAGTAAACCCAGTGGGATGCTTCCTTCTGGCATATTATCAGACAAATAAAGGGTTTTTAGGCGATGCAAATAGCCTTTTTCATATGTTAGATGACCGTAGAAGCTATTGTAGCTAAGATCGAGTAGTTTGAGGAAAGAAAGATTACCAGCAGGAGGAGATATGGTGCATTCGAGACTCATGTTGCCAAGGAGAAAGCCTGTGACTCTTTGCCTACGTCAACTGCATAAAACCCCCGCCCAGCCACAAAAATTGGTTTCTTTCCTCCAGTTACTCAACACATTGTTGGGATCATTTTTTATGGATGATTTGAAGCTGAGGAGAGCTAATTGATTTGTGAAGTTTGAGGAACAAATGGCCAAATCAACCATGCATAAGAGCACTAACAGTGCCAGAGCTCCCATAAGAGAAGCATCGCACAGCCTTCTCGCGGACATGATTGAGAAAGAGAGAGTGTGTGTATGCTTATGCTTCAGCTTGTGAAAATGTGTGCTTACCATAGTCATATCCATACAATGTATATATTAGAGGTGAACAAGATTCAGATTGGTTGAGTTTAGAAGTAAACCATGAGCAAATCATTACTTACGGTTTTATGAAATTTGAAATTAAATCGAATCATTTGTATCTTAAAAAAAAAAAATGCTTTTGGGGTGTGTTCGATCAACTTAATTTGTTATAGGTATATTTTACTCGATACATTTTAAAAAGTGAACGATTTGAATAATTAAAATAGATCCCGAAATGATCCCAAGGAAAATTGTGCAATAGAGATCACCACGCTATCTTTTTAGGAGGTGTTTGGGAAGAATTTTTTGATTTTTTGATATAAAATTGCACTAAAAAATTAAATAGGTTAAAATAGTTAATAAGATAAAATATCACATCAAATCCATAATCATTTCACTTTTTACTTACAAACATTACATCTAACTACAAAAAAATTCAACCATCTTATCAAATACAACTATTTTAGCTTATTATAATAGTCCAAAACTAAAAAATAATACTTTATGCACCAATTAGTGGACTAATTAGTGTACTAATTGATGATGTAACATAATTTAAGAGGTTTTAGTATTTATAATTTGTATACACTACAAGAAATAACACCTTTGCCGACCAAACAATTGGTCGCTAAAAGCCCATTTTTGGTCAGCAAAAATTATCCGCGATCAATTTTTTTGGTCGCTACTTTGGTTGCCAATTGAGGGTCGGCAAAAGTAATTCGCGACCAAAATTTTTGTTGGTCGGGAAAAGTTGGATTTGCCGACTAAATTTTTGGTCACTAAATATATCATTACTACAACTAATCCATTTTGTTGCTAAAACACTTTGGTCACTAAAAGTGATATTTTCCCGACCAAATATCATAGTCGCCAACTGTCACATTCCACGACCAAACAGATTAGTCGCCAAAAGTTGAGGAATCGCCGACTAACAATTTAGTCGCCAAAAGGTAAGGAATTGCCGACCAATGATTTTAGTCACAAAAGTGTAGAATTTGCCGACCAATTTTTTAGTCGCCAAATCTTTTTTTTATTTTATTATGAGAACAATCAAGTTTTGTTTATAAACATTCAATCCAATATCGAACAAAATTCATTAAACCCAACCACAATTAAGGAACAATAACATTTAACAATAATTAACAAATTTCCTTTCTTTTAACTTCACTAAATCATCAAATAATAATTGAATTCCATTTAAAATAAAAATGAAAATATATAACCAACTAAATTACAATAATTATTACAATAATTGAATATGAGAAGAGATGTCACGTTGCAGTTCCCAAAGCCCTTCAACTGATTTGCCATGCATTTGATCAATCCTAGCATCTTCTCCAACTAAATTAACTCTCAACAGCAGCAACATACACACACTAGCCTGCCTTCACCAGCATTGCAAATTGACACTGAGAAACAAAACAGAACAGACCAGTAGCATTGCAAAAAATAATTTAACACATAGCAGTCCACATAATTTAACACATTGCAAAAAAAAAAAAGTAATGCATTCTTAGGACAATTTGTTTTCCTCTTTTACTTGAAAGCAAGATTTTTTACCCCTTCAATGAAGTAAATGTAAAAAATAGAGAATACACCACACCAATTACACAGCTCTGCAGAGAGAAGCGAAAGCAGAAGTTTGCCAATAAATCATTATTTAACAACAACTTTTAAGTAAAGAAAAAATACATACCCATTCCCGATGCATTAATTGTTCCAAGAGAATCAATAGTTATAGTTCTTGCCCTATGGAAATGAATAACGGATCCTTCTATACCGCCTTCAACAAGGATATCCTCAACTCAGCAAATCTAAAGAAGCAGATGGATAAAGATGACAAAATGACTAAATAAATAAACACCGAACCCTATCAGTAAAAGACCCGATCCATAACCAGTTCTGGGAGGGGGAACTAAATGCCTTAAATACCCTCAAAGACAACAATAAAAAATGAACAATTATAATCAAACATCCACTTGCATGGATACTGTAGAAACTACCGTACGTCATGGGATTTGTGCCCCCTACTTGGTATTTTGGAAGGTGAACTGCATACCACAAGCCCATAAGGCCCATGGTAAATCAAGTATTTTATATTGGGTATTTTAAAATCCTAATGGTCAGGGTTGAACATGCAGTATAAGAAATCATAAAACGCAACCAAAATATGGTGAGACACAAGTGCTTACATACAGTTTGCCCATTTATAAAAAAAACTATTCTGTTTAAGTTTTCAAATTAAAAACAATCAAAGATGGCCACATACAAGGTTATATAATTATAGCTCTGAGTAATTTAGGAAGGATAATATGCATCTCCAACACATTTAATAGTCTGTAGAACAACTTCTTTTTCAACTAAAAAATCTATCATGATAAATTTAATAATGATCCCAGTTTTCTGGAAAAAAAAATAACAGTGACCCTAGTATAAAGCATATGAGGATATACTTCAATAAATCCCAGTATCATACTATATTTGTTGCCAATAATTAGAATACAAGATCACCATTGCCAACAAATTGAAATTTGTTTGCCAACTACTAAAATTAGGAACTAAACAATGGAGAATCATGATAAATTTTACTTCCACCTCAGATAATGGTAACCGTAAGGTACTCACATAGATGTCTTCTTGAAGATGTATGGCGTTTTCTCGTATTCAATCTCAATATAAGAAGTGATACAATTGCAGATAACGTAACTGCACCTGCAATCGTCCCAAGTGCAATGCCAATCAGTGCTACCTTGCTAATACCAGATTTTAAAGAGGAGGGGTCCGCTGCAACATAAACTAAAATTATGAGAAAAACCCTAAGAATTACGACAACGAAACACAGAAACTGCTAAGTGTAAGAATCAAGTTTAAACATAAGAAATAGGAAGGAACAAATCTAAGAATTACGATTTAGAGCTAAATCAGGATAGGCAAGCAGTGCTGGTTTGTCTTGGTCTCCATACACAATAACAGACACAGGACCATGGGCAATTCGTACAATACGTTCATACAGTAAAAGAAAAAAAAAATTTGTGCATTAGAAACACATCAATCATGGATAGGGAAGAAAAAAAGAAGCATTAATCAACAGAGGAAGATAATTTCCAAGAATTCATCGAAATGGTAGAAAACTATCAAGGTCCATCAAAAATTTAAAATGGGAACACCCTTGGTATAAGCAATCATTTGTTTTGTGTATATACCATTCAAATAAAGAAAAACTGCTGCTTACTAATCTTATTCCAAGAAAATGATTGGCATGTGCACTGCCCCCCTTTAGAGCCTGATTGCTAAATCAACATAATATTTATTTCAAAATGGAGATTAAACAAGTATTAAAGCACACACATATAGTTTTAGAAGATTTTGAACTTGTGAAACGTAGAGAAGCTGGAAACAAATGAAAATAAACCAGTTTCATATTAATTTAATAAACATAAATAAAGTTTGGAATTCAATCCAGAATTCGGTTATGTAAAATCTCATTGGCCCAATAAGAAAATCTAAATTTTCTGTTCTTCTTGTTTATAAGCTCTGTAGTGTGCATCATGCTTGATTACAGTGCACAAAACTTGGTCTTAACTTTGGCTACGTTGTGGCACAATATACCACAAGCAAAGAAGCTGCAAGCTGCAACTTTGCTGTCATGATGTCTAAAATTGATTTGTTATGACTCTACCTTTTCAAAGCAACAAGGCCTACCATAAGAAGCCCATCTTCTCTGTTACACCATTCATTGTATCTGGAATAAGCAAACTAATGGTGGAATAGCTTGCAAATGAAACTAATATCCTAGTCTTGTTGAAATCTGAAAATTGAGTCATTAGAACCAACTTGGGCAATTTATTCATGTCCTTCTCTCATCCATAATGTCTTTATGAAATGGTTAAGATGGCTCTTCTGCTGTGCCTGAGTTTATGTAATTCTATATTAAGTAATTGGGATATTGCCATTGTATGTACTTTAGGATTGGGGGTTAAGAGAGATTGTTTTTGTGATGGAAAGAAGAAAGAAATGAAGTATGGTGATAAGATTGTTAATTTACCCCATGTTTTCTTATCACCCATTAGTCAGATTTATATCCTCTCCTCTACTCATTGTTAATTTTTGCATAATTGGAATAAGTACAAATCTCCCAAATTCTGCTAAAATCAGATTGTGTTGATTGTAATGAGCTCCTTATAGAAGTGATCGAATGCAGAGCAACATGAATGGATAACCTGCATTTGTGGTAACTGGTAAGAAATAAATATAATAAACAAAGTCTTAAAAGGTTCTTGAAGAATTGTGTTGAACTGTGTAGATTTAACTTCCATCATTTTTGCATCAACCAGGAGGATAATATAACCCATTTGAAGTTATTGGTAGCTATTGATGACTATGTAGGTTATTCCTCTTCTTGATACAAGAACTACAGAAAGAAGGAAGTATGTACTATATTGCTAACTAATTCATAAAGAATATTCCGTACTTATTTTCTTTAGAATAAATTCAGGGTATTTGTTCATGTAATAATCAGTCTATTTTACTTTGTTTGTTTGTTTTTTTGTAGTGGTAGATTGAGTTGAAAAAAAAAATCAAAAGCAGTTGCTCAAAATCAAACCCATTAAGAAACCCATTAAGAGTTCAGATTGAGTTGAGAAAACACTTCAGAGTTACATAGAATTGCATGAAATCAAATGGGCGAAGGATACAAAGTCCACATGAAAAGAAATTCTCAGTGGTTTCACTGCGGGCCATACTTCTATGGATTTTGGCTTCTCCTTTCCCATTTCTTCTTTTGTTTCTCACTGAAGGAAGAGGTCGTAACAATGGTGGAGCAAGGGTTGTGTGGTCAGTCACTAGATTAGGGGTTTTTTTTTTAAAAAAATTCCTGTTTTCCTGGTACAAAATGACGTCGTTTTACAATAGGCGACCAAATTTTTTTTTCGCAAAAAAATTTCAATTCCTGCCTCCACGTTTCAAATTTCCCTCCCAAACTTTTGGCAACTAAAAGACCAAATTAGTCGCAGAAAAGGTACCTTCGTCGACAAACTTTTTTAGTCGTCAAATCTCGATCAACGGCGACTAAAATATTAGTCAAATAATTTTTTATTTCCCATTCGGTGACTAAATTGTTTTAGTAGCCAAAACTTAATATACGGCTACTAAAATATTTTTGGTCGGGGAAAATAAGTTTTTGGTGACTAAAATTTTTGTCGCCAATTCCACAACCAACTTATTTTTTATCTTCTGCGACCAACTTATTTTTTGGTCACCAAAATGTGACCTTCCGCGACCAAATTTGTAGTTGGTCGCCTAAAGCATATCACTTTCTGCGACCAACTCATTTTTTGGTCGCCAAAATATGTTGGTGCACTAATTAATACACTAACTAATACATATAATATTACCAAAAACTAAAATAACCAACTTCTCAAATTTGCCTTAATCAAAACTAAAATGACAACAACTAGCACATTAAAGTTATGGGGAGAAACTTCGAAGGAGAGCCATAACTTGTAATTCACTTCAATCACTTAACAAAAATGCTTTTGGGTCAAGTCAGGTGGTCTTGACTCCATAGTCAATCAATGACTTCATAAAAAATGTCAAATGGGTTCAAACTTTCAATTTATTATTAAGGAAATAAAAGAGGTAGAGTGTACTCCCAATGACCACTTTAACAAAATTTTATTTAAAAAGTCACTTCACAAATTTAAATTTTACAAATTTTATAAGAAAATTTTTTTTGTTTTGGCACTAAACAACATTCATTGTGTTTGATTTTAAATTTCAAAAACAGTTGGAGCTTTTATTTTTGGAAAAATTACCAAACAACGGAGCTCGGGAAAAAGTATTACCACATGGCTTATTTTTCAAAATTTCAACAGTAATAGAGAGTACAAAAGTGTTAGATTTTTGTTATTAGCAATCCTGTTTGACAAAACTCCTTTCAGTTGTAATTTTATTCGCTCTTTGTTTATGTGAGGCTATGAGTGTTTAGATGCGAATCCAACCTAAATTATGCGTAGAGGAGTTTGTGAGCTTAATCCTTTTATGTATGTCACTTCGCTAACTAAGTCGGGGATCTCATAGAAGTTTGACTTGCCTGCAAATATACTGAGAGTTGAGATTTTCCGCTCGAGCGCCACTTCTTGCGCTCGAGCATAGATCCTTATTCAGAAACATGTGTTTAAGTCACACCTCTCGATCTTCAATTCCTCTCCTCAAGCGAAGATCGCGACTGTGTTTGCTATAAATCTACGGTTCAGTTAGATTTTAGGGTACAACTTCCTGATCTACTTCTTAGGTATTAGGGTTTTCATCTAGAGCCTCTTCACTAGTTTCTTTGATGTTTTTATGAGTTTATCTCATGGTTTAATTCGTCCACATCAAAGGATTATTTGATCATTCAAAAAGAGAGAGTTGTTTTTCAGTGGAATCTGAGGAACTTAGGCCTGAAGTTTTGGTAGATTCTGGAGTGGTTCATCATGTGAAGCTCCTGAAAAATGTATTTTCTTTAAAAACCCTTACGATTGAATTATTTCCTTAAAGCCCCTTAGCTTCTTAAATTATTTCGAATCTTGCCGGTTAGTGTATTTTTTTTAAAAATTTTATCGGAACAAGAATATCCTAGCCGAATTAGATTCCTTAGCCTAATTTAATTTAATTCTACATAAATAAGGTTCCAATACATGAGTTAAATTCCAAGCCCTCACTTCTTTTTATACTAGTACATGTACTTTTTATACTATAGTACCACCAAATCAATTTGTGGATCTATATATATTGGGAATATCTCCATAGTACACATATATTGAATATAATATTCCCCATTTTCCTTCCCCATGGCCGACCAACCTAGGGGAGTGTGAGGGCTTAATTTTCAAGGCTTGTAATCATGGCATTCTAGAAGCAAAAGTACCAAGTACCGCTAAATTAAGGGATTGTGTTCCCAACCTAATTCCATTCCAATAGAGGCTAACTAAATCTTGTCTAATCACATAATTAAGTCCTCTAATCACTTCCTATTCCTTTAGACTCCAAGTAAATTCAAACTTCTCAATCCAATTCCAACTAGTGGGCCTTTGTGTCTTTTCACACCAAATTTGTCTATATATACAACCACCCTCTTAGCATAGCATACACAAGCAACACACACACACACACCTACATTCGGCCTAGAGGAGGGAAAGGAGAGCAAGAGAAAATTTGTGAGAGAGAGAGAGAGGAAGGAAGAGGAGAGCAATCTTGTTCAACTTGGCCTAGCCTAGCAAGTAAGCCACAACACAACCCTCTCTTTTATTCTCCTTTTTCAAATACATGCTCTTAATGGATCTAAACATTGTTTTCAGATGTGTTTTAGTGATTTTCTTGTGCTAAAAATGAAAGGAGTTGAGCCATGATTCTACTCTTCTTGTAGTTCCCCTTAATCGGTACAAAACTATCTTTTTCATACCAATCTCTCAAACTTTCCAAGGGCACACCTTGAAGATAAATTTCTGAGTTTAATATATATTATTTAGCATATTTTCATCACACAAAAGAAATGAAAAATTTCCCTTAGTGGATCTCTTTTCTCACAAATCTTCTTGTTTTGAGTATTGTGCATTAAAAATCTGTTTTTACGGCCAACTTTCAAAAATTATAGAAAAATATATAAAAATCTTCTGGACCTCATTTTTATGCCAAAATCTTCCTTAAGAAGTTATTTTTCAAGGAAAATTGGTTTCATTGAAAAAGAGTGAGCTGTTTGTAAGAAAATCCGATTTTCGTAACGATCGACGAATCTGGACAGCGCTGGAGTGTTTCTTAAATAACTAAAAATCTAGAAAAGCTATCACATTTCCGAAATATGTTCTGGAAACTAGATTAAATTCTCTTCAAACCATAGGAAGTTTGAGTTCGGGAAAAGTCTGAAACAACCCTTTCGATTTTAATCTTTAACGGGTACTAAATCTAAAATTTCTGTTTGGCATTGGTATTTCATGCTATTGTGTTCATGAATATGCTTGTTAATATATATGAATGTGTCTTAATATGATATCACACATGCCATGGTTGTATATCTTATATTTTAGCCCTTCAATGATGCTTACAC